TCCATTATACTTAGTATATAACGAGCACCTCCCACACTTGGTTTTTTAGGACCTATAATATCAGCAAATACGACCTCTAGAGGTTCCTTTGTCTTAAATCCATTTATTCTATTTGCTGGTATTACCTTGCTTTTTTCTTGACTGCAAGCATTGCAGTGCAAATACTTACTGCAAGGCTTCAGTTTTATACCTTCAGACAGTTCAACCGTTTCCTTGAGCATTTTAAAATTTATATGCCCTAAACGTCTGTGTAACAAATGTATGCATTCATCATGAGGTTTACCTTTATTATAAACTGTGTTAGCTACCTCTAATGAATTATCATTTAACACATACAATTCACCTTTTAAAGTTGCAGTCACTTTTTTACCTTCCTTTTCTATTATGCAGTTTTCTCCCCTAAAGGTAACTACATAACCCAGTTTAACCAAAACTCTAACCGAAAGCAAATTAAACTTAAGTTGTGGTACATATAACATTTTTACATTTTCTTTTATGCAAGAACAATGTGCAATACCTTCACCTTTTGCTTTCATTTTCCAGCCATTAGCTAACGATATCTGCTGTGAACTCATGGACATCTTAACAAATCTTTTCTTATCTTTCGTTATGCAGTGCGATGCTCCACTATCTACTACCCATAAATTATTATTCACAGTTTCGTTGCTATACATGGCTAACTCTAAGCATTTTTCATCCTTTTGATGCCTTTTAGCATTCTGGCTGGCATTGTGGCGTTTTCTTTTCTTGCAGAATCTAGCCAAATGTCCTTTTCCTCCACAATTAAAACATTTTCTAATTGTATAGGCTGTCGTAGATTCTTTATCTTCTTGTGGTTGTTCCCTTCTGAGTTGATCCCTTTCAAGCCTTCTCCTGGCTTCTTCAATTAATCTGCCAGTAATGTCAGTTAATGTGAGGTTATCTTTTGGCAGTACTTCCAGTGAAGTTACATAGTCGTCATAGCTCTCATCTAACGAAGACAAAATTATATAAACCTGATGCAGTTCTGTGAAGATAAGTTCTTTTTCATGCAGTTCCTGAAAAATTCTCTTCATAGTGTTTATATGAGTCAACATGTCTCCATTCTTTTGAAGATGTGTTCTGAACAGCTTTCGTGTAAGATTTATATGTGCTCCTACACTGTCTCGAACATAAATCTTCTTTAAATTCTCCCAACATTTCGCAGCTGTTTCTTCTCCACGAATATGGACAAGCTGCTGGTCACAGAGTGTCAGTCCTATTATACAGAGAGCTTGCTCATTCTTCAGTTTATATTCTAGTATTTTCTGGGCATCATCCTCATCTTCCGGATCCCAAGCATCTACCTCTGGTGGGTTTTGAATTATACTCCACAAACCTTCTCTGCGTAGAAGTAGGCTGCATTTCATAGACCATGAAACATAGTTTGTTCCATCCAGTTTGGATATTAGAGACAAACTTTGTAAATTGACTTGTGCCATCTTTTTCTGGATATTAAACTATAATTAATAAAACACAGCTGTCTGTTTACAGTATTGTGTAACTACACAAACTCTTACTTTATATAAGCCTGTTATATCCTGGTTAGTCTGACTGTGCAGCCTGGGCCCATAACCAGTGTTAGGGATATACACCCTAGCAGAATCTGCACGGCAGTCAGGCAGGCAGGCAAATATGTGAGATGAACGTTTTTGTAGCTTACACTCAGTAAAACAGATACAATGTGCTAGTTAAATAGTTTATTCCAGTAAGATTTTTAGCATAGTCAAACAGTCCATATATCATACACTAGTTCAGTCCGTCCGGGGATTAATCAGTTGCAAAGTCCAGTGTCGAAAAAGAGGTCAGTACACTTACAAATATCAGTAATATATCTCTTCGCAGTAGAGATATGAAGAAGTCAAACTCTTTTTCTTCCTTCAGCAACAGCAGAGAACACGCAGTTATCACACCATCAATCCATCATCGTCAGCAAGCAATCCAGTAAGCCAGCAATCAATCAAGTTCTCTTGCTCCCTCTTATGGCGGTTTTACAGCCGCACCCAAAATTACATGCTTTGGAGTTAAAGTGACACACACATAAACTCACTATCATAGTTTATATATATTATTTTACCCAAACTACGTTAGGTAACCTTGTTATTCCTAACATCTTGCCTTGGTTATAATGCCTTGGTAAGGCCATGCTTGAAATCCAGTTTTCATCACCATGATATAAAAAAGATTTTGAGACTCTAGAAAGACTACAGAGAACAGCAATAACTTATGAAGAACTGTTGTAGGAATTGGGTATGTCTGGTTTAATGAAAAGAAGGACTAGGAATGACATGATATCAATGTTCCAATGTCTAAGCGGTTGGCACAAAGAAGAGGGAGTCAAGCTATTCTCCAAAGCACATGAGAATACTGGATACGAAGTAATGGCTGGAAACTAATCAAGGAGACTACCAACCTAGAACTAAGGAGAAATTTCCTGACGGTTAGAAAATTAATCAGTGCAAGGAATTGCCTACAGAAGTTGTGGGTGCTCCAGAGATGGAGGTTTTTAAGAAGAGCTTGGACAACCATTCATCTGAAATGGTATAGGGTTTCCTGCTTGAGTGGGAGGTTAGACTAGAAGACCTCCTAGGTGCCTTCCAACTCTGTATTCTCTTATTCTATAAAACCTTATCCCTTTCTATGTGTATTATATGGCCCCGTAGACTTTTCATCATTCCCTAGTTGTGACATTGGGAAAGTATTAAAGTATGGCTCTTGGCCAGAAATGCTAAATTAAGGACAATGCAACTGGAATGGAAAGATGAATTGAAGCTTTGTATCAGAGGAAGAGGAACAAGAAGTCTTCTCTTCTTAGTTGCTCATAATCATTTGTCAGATTTGCTTCCAAAACAATACTTGACAATCCTGCTCTTGGTTTAACCATAGGTTGCTAATAGTTTATCCTATTGGCTTTTTCCAAAGCTGTTAATCATCCTATTTGGTTTTCCAGCTCATGCAAGCAGAAGTATGACTATGCAGATTCTCTCCATCAGTTGTTTGACTCTCCAAGGAAGGTTTAATCATTAAAATTGTTTGGTACAAATGTATCTTGACTGTTTGTATTCAGTGCTTTGATTAAATCTTCACATTAAAACTATGTGAATATTAACTGAATCAAAAGGAGACAGGATTAGCTCAAAAAGAGAGAAAATCCTCTAGCTTAGCACTAAGAAGGCCCTTAATAAAAGTTCTAAACATAATAAGACAAGAGATCAATTTCATTTGCTAAATCTCTGCCTACAGGGATGTGATAGAAGTTGTTGTATCTACCACACAGCAGCCTCTTGCTGAGGAGGGCTGCCTATCTGTTGGCTGCGGCATCTATTTAATTATTGTGAGTGCAGGTGTGATTTGGAGAGAATTGCTTGCTTGCAGAAAAACTGTGGCTTGGGTTTGCTTGCTTTATCCAAGCATATAAGGAGAACAGTGGAAGCAGTGTGATAGAAACAGTCACACCCCAAGAAACATAAGACAGCTAAAGATAATAAGAAATACGCTGCTTAACATGCTTGAAGTGTAACTTTTTTAATGTTGTGCTGTTAATTGATGCAGATGATCGTGCACAGTAGGATGCGGATTTGGGGCATAGTTTCAAACAGATGGCATCAGTATACTTTTTTTTAAAGAAAAAATATCAATCCATCTGTCCAGGGGTGGGATTCAAATTTTTTAACAACCAGTTCTGTGGGCGTGGCTAGGTGGGCATGGCCATGTGACTGGGTGGGCATGGCTTCTTTTTTTGCAGCACTCCCCCCTCCTGATTTTTTTTGCCTCCTGGACCTCAGGGAAGCCTCCTGGGGGGCATTTTTGCTCCCAGAAGGCTTCCCTGGGGCCCAAGAAGGCAAAAATGGAGCACACCCCCGCTGCATGCCCCTTTTTGCCTCCTGGGCCTCAGAGAAATCTCCTGGGTGAAGCAGTAAGACAGTGAGGGGGGATCCCAGCACAGCTGATCATCAGAACAGCTGATCGTCAGGAGGGGAAATAAAGAAATACTTTAAGGAATGACTGGGCAGGAGAGAATGCAGTCAGCGATGTCAGGCATGCACGCGATATTGCGCATGCACGATAAGGACTGGGTGGAGAGGGGAGGGGCAGGAGGAGAGGGGTGGGGCCAGCCAGGGGCACAATTTGCTAGCTCTCCAAACTGCACATAATCATAATAACCGATTCTATAGAACCGGTCTAAACCGATAGAATCCCACCCCTGCATCTATCCCAACACAGTGCTTTCCCTAGTTCTGTCAGGCAGGATCTTTGTAATTATTTTAAATACTAGTTATGTCTTATGCTATGCCTAGCTTTTTAATGTGTGTTTGTTTTTATCAAAAGATTTTAATACCTTCTATGATATGACTCTTATCGAGCAAAAGGAGAGTTACACACGAGACCATTTTAGCACAGATAAATTTGTATTTACTAGAGAAAACCCCCTTTTAGGCAGCGGTGGGCTGCTGCAGATTTGGACCGGTTCTAGTGAACCCTCACGAATGACAATCAGTTGGCCCCGCCCACCCGCCCCTGCGGTATCCTGTCTTACATTTCTTTCTTTTGCAGCTCAGCTGACTCGTGCGCCCAAATGGATAACTGCATCTCAGCTGTTCTACTTACCGGGGAAGGCTAGAAGGTGAGCTGAAGAGGTTCATATTGGTGCTTATTGAATGCTGCATGCGCGTGCAAAGCACACGTTCACAGAAACTGTTGTTAAACTGGTTGCAGCCCACCCCTGCTTTTAAGGTTATTATTGCAAAAGTTTGGAAAACTGTGAACCTGTTGAAGCTCTTGCTTACAGTCCAAAGCAGTAAACTGCAGAGAAGAAAGATGGAAAAAGAAAAAGAATGACTGAAAATTTGAATCCCATCTCTAGCATGTTCCCTGAAAAAGATCCAATGTACAGAAGTGCTAAATTGCTAAATTGCCCATAAATCTGAAAAAAGATGGATCTTGGATTTCAACAGAAACACAACTGATACAAAATTAAAAGCACTCTTTGTTCCTCTTTAGGTGGAATGTGTGTCAGGATTTCAAAGAGATTTACAAAAATTTTGATAATATTTCCACGAAGTGTGTGACTTCAGTCAGAAAGCACATGCCCTCATATCTAGGTTTAGCAATAGAAAACTGGGCTTGAGGCAAGAACCTTTAATACTTTATTCACCCTCCCTCCAACTATTCAGTAATGGATGTTGCCAGAAGGGCTGGCCAAAACTGATAAATCAAATGAAGCTGCTAAATGCTTTCTTAGGAGACCTGCTTTCTTAAAACAACATTATTTGCTTTGGCTGTCCAGGACCTCAGATGGAGTGCTTTATCATTATTCATTATTGTTTTTTTTTAACTGGAGATGCCACAGATTGAAAACTGCATCTTCTCCATGTGGGTTTTAGTCGTGTCCTCCCTCACCCCCAACCTACTGATTTCCATCATTATCTGTGAGTGGGGTTCACTCTCCCACTCAAAGTCTGTGCACTGTCTGGAGGTTCTTTTATACTCATAAGTCCTGCTTGAGAAGCCAGTAGAAGCCATGGCCAGGAGAACTTCTTTTACATATATATCTTGTGGGCAATTATGCCCATTCCTCACAGACATTCATGCCTCATATCTCCCAATTGGACTGTTGCAATGTGTTCTATGTGGGGTGGACCTTAGAGCATTTGGAAGCTTTGGCTGGTCCAGAAAGAACCGTAGTGGCATGTGTAATTAATGTACACTACAATAGGCCAATGTAACTCTACTGCCTTATGAACTACATTGGGTTTCACTAGGTTTCTGGGTGCAATTTAAGGTGCTGATTGCCACCATTAAAGTCCTACATGGCATGGAACCAGGTTAGTTAGGGGAATGCCTTGCTCTGGTGGTTTTTGAAAAGTGGTTATGATCTGGATGCCACTGATAAAACAATGTCATTTAGTGGGTTGCCACAAGTATGTTTTCTTTGTTAAGGCACTACCTTGTGAACCAACTGTCCACAACCACTCTGAAATATACAATCCATACTCCATTGTCCTTTTACAAAATGGAAAGAGCTGGCTCTTTCTCCAGTCATTGGAATCAGGATATTAGTATGGAATCTCTGGTTCAGGTGAATTTTTCTCATGGTTTTGTGTTGTCATTAAGCCTCCAGGAAGCTTCAGCTGCTGTTTTTATGTCTTAATATAAACATCTGGTTGTTCTTAGATAGAAAGGCAGGCATATAAATTAGATTAGTAAATATAAATAAATGAAGAAAGCCATGCATTATATTACAATGCTACAGAAATCCATTGAAATACAAAAACCCAGCCCTGGGTAAAGATAACCTATTTAGAAAACTATCCAACTTGATGATAGCAAAAGTCAACAATCAGTCCAGAAAAATAATCAAACAGAATCATACTTCCCCATTCCTCTTCTAGCAAGGAGTATATATCAGTTGATTTCTACATCAAATTAAAATAAAAATGATAGTGCTTAAAATGATATACTGTAGTAATCTTACTCTATCAAATATCTTATGCATATCTGATATGAGAACAGTTCCTTCCTATCCATCAAAACCTCCAACACTAAATCCCAATGTTTAAATCATAGTGAATGCCAAGGGCTTTCTTAAATGTATCTTTAAAAATATGGCTGCAGAAGACAAAAAAAATCACCAGAAGTTTCAATGAGATGACCATTCAAGGGATGTCATGAATAATATTTTACTTGCCTTGGTAGCTACATGGCATAAAAGAAAGAAATAAGTTTTATACATTGTTCCACCACTTACTGCACTATGTAGTTGTAAATTGAAGAGAAGTCCCATAAAGAAACTTGATGGCTATGTGTCTATGGCAGAGATTCCAATCATTCAGTCATAGTTGTCCCAAAGGTACTCAGCCTCGTGAGAGATAGGCAGTGCTTGTGATTCTTCCTTGACCGAAACAGGAAAAATTCTTTCCTTGCTAGCAGGTTTGAAAGTTAATCAGCTTGTCTTTAGAATCCTTTAGCCTTCTAATCGCATTGCAATCTCTCGACGTTGGCTCACATTACAGAGATCGCTCGCCTTACAGGGAAGCGCCAATTCGTGCCCCAAAGTGGCGGGAGGCTTTGGCGCTGCTCCGCGCCCCCTCCCCACAACCGATCTTTCTACCCCTGCCATTCCGACAGATTGCTGCAGAGTTTCTTTTACCCGAACTGCGGCGTGAGCTCTTTGCTCACAAGAGACTCGTATCGCTTTCCTTCCCACTCTGAACGCCACTTGGGGTGGAGGATTCAAACACTTAGTGCCTTCCACCCTTCCCCGCCGTTTAGCCTTATAGGAAAAGCCATCGGAGGCTATTCCTTCACACGGCGGGAGTTTGCTGCTGGGGAGCGTGCCGAAAGATTAACGGCTGGAGGCCATCTTTTCTTACAAGACCTCGTCGCCGCGCGCCTGCATTCCATTTCATGCTGTGTGAGGTAACTCTGTCCCGAGCAGAGGTTCCCTTCAGGAACACTGGGGACCATTATATCCTCGTCTTGTTTTTTTTCTACATTTGAGGCTATTCTTACAGTTAAATTGTTGGCTTAACCCTCACAACCCAATCAACCCAGCAGCACAACAGTGAGCACCTAGGCCTGTGTCCGCCTGTGCAGGGAAGCTGTTGAAGGCCTTTACTCTTATCAATCTGGGCCTTTAGGCGTTCTCAATTTGGCTGTTTGGTTTCTCAGCACTTAACATCGTGCAATTTAATTAATATTCATATACATATTGAGATATATATACATACATACATATATATATATATATATATATATATATATATATATATATATATATA